AGGACAAGTGGGGGAGCTGCCACCCCTCTGCTTTTAAAAAATGTCTAATAAGGTACATCAATTTTTGTTTACTGCAAAAATTTTATTTGATATTCGAATTATATCATTTTTCAAAAAAAATTAGGATCTACGTAAAGTAACCATTTCTCTTTTTATTATCAATTTTCAAGACATATAATTTTATTTAGGTAAGGAAAAATATTTCAAAATAATCAAGATCAAGTTACGTTACTGTAACTTATATATCATTTATAATAGTTGTAATTCTTTGTATAATTTATATTTTATCAATTTGACATTTAGATTTGATATTTTATTCATGTGTATCATATATATATATGTTCCTTATTTAATGTTGATTTGATATTTGTAACTATATGAAAAAGAAACTAAATTTTATATGAGATTAAGTAGTGTTTATTTATATGAGATTAAATTTTGCACCTCTTGCCCAAAATTCTGGCTCTTGTCCCTCTAACATCCAGATACAATTGAACAGCTGGTGAATTGTGAGTGGATTCTCAAAACCTCTATATAACATCGAAGCTATCAGTTAAATGGCCCGTGGCTTAGCCTATGTTCGAGGATTACAACCTAGTTGCAAAAAGACCAAATCATCACACTGCAGAAACTGAGAATGGGAAGCTGGAATATTTTGTTTTCCGGTGTGTGTTCTTAGTCTCTTCTGGTGATGCTGATCAGGAGTTTCTGAGTTAAAGTAGCAAATCTTGATTTATATAGTTAAGTCTGATTGTTGAACTAAACCAATAATTTATGCCAAGGAGCACAGATTTTTCAACATTCCAAAGACACGAAAATGTATCCAAAAACTTAAAAACTTGGTGAAATATATTCTATGGTACAACAGAATTTACGAGTGAATCTTGCTTACATCTCTCACGACTCCATTGCACAACAACGTTTTCTCTTTTGCTTGAACACACAAGATTCATTTAGTACAACAATGTCATGCGAGGCATAAGCGACTGCTCATTTGCGGCAGGCAGAGAAAGATTCAGGCTTGATCTCCCCTCTGCCCTCTTCTGCTGCAGTTTCCGGGTCACCAACCCTTGCTAACTGTACTGTTGAAGCAGAAACAGAATTCTCTTTATGACCTACCTGGCTGGAGCCGGTGGTGGCATGCATAACCATAGCATGAGTCCTTGCCGTTTTAGTCCAAGCTCGGAGTCCCTTTTGGACATGTTCCTCAAATATTGAACGCTTGAATGAACTTCCCATCTTCATTTCAAAATTGAAAATAATAAGTTAACAACTTTCATCATTTTTCATATAAAGTAAGAAATCAGATCCTGCTATGAGCAAACCTGCGTGACAATTGCATAGAGTGGTAGAGTACTGTAACTGCAGACGAACTGAACAAATGCTCTGAAAAAAAGAAGCAAAATGAAGCAATCAGAAAACCATCTGTATCAACATGAATGCCAGCATAAGATGAGTAAGGATTTTATAATGTAGATTACCCTATGACGAGTCGAGGGATAATGAATCCAAGTTGTCCCATAATGCAGGAGTCAAAACCATATTCCACCTATACCAGCATCATGTGTCAGATACAAGCAACCAGAAGTTCTTGTTCTTTATATCAAAGATGATAGATTTTTACCCAAATCCAGAAGAAACATGCCAATTCAAATGAGTTCTGGAACAGGAGGATGTGTATTAGGAGGAGAACAATTTGGGGCCTGTGGAACCAGAAGTGGTCATCATCAGGCTTAACCACCACCTGCTCTTCAACGGCTGCATGTTTTTCAGCCACCTCATGGGCCAATTGTGTTATTACATGCTCCAGTTTGGTGCCAACAGCAAGCAAAAGCTGTTAAAATAGGGGGAAAGAAATCATTCCCAAAAAGATAAATAAAGTTTTAAGCACAAAAGTGTAAAGATGTTTGAATTGCTTACAGCAAATGGAACAAATGCTAGGCAGAAATACGCATGCCATCCTGTACAAAGAAATTGGAACTTTGGTTTTAGGTACAGGATTTTTTTTTTTTTCATAACATTGTGAAATCTTGGATTGTCAATTTTTCATTGATTTGGGAATTGGGATACATATCCCGTGATCCAATAGAATTTCTCGAAATCTTGAGAAGAAATGCAGAAAGTAGCTTACCATGGACATTGAGCAACAAGAAGATAACCACAAAAACCCAAAGGTACCAACTGCAGTTGATGAATATAAAAATTAGAGAAATTCATGAAAAGAACAAATGGAAAGCATGGGAAAACATCTTAAATGAGATTAGAATATTCTTCTAACCTTATCCCAACTACTTTCTTGAAATCAGCCTCCAAAGCACGCATCAGGTACTTGTGAAAATTGAACTTTGGATTCCCAGGGCAATGAGTCTGTACAGAAGCAAAGCTTAGCATCAAAAAACATGAAAATGTAAAGGGTAATCATTGGCATTGCCTTAACTCGTAAGAGATCACTATTGCAATGCAAACAATTTTAATGGGTTACTCCTAATAAAACTTTGCCGGGTAATTATGGACAAATGCTTTGTAGGTGTTTGTGGGATTAATCAGACTAAACTTTGGATACCCACATTATTGAAAAAAAAAAGAGTAAAAGAAAGATGGAAATGAAAACTTCAATCAACTCACCTTAATGAAGCCTAGTCTCATGGCGATGTAATCTGTTTTGGTTACTGATCCATAAAATTGTTTGAAAAATGAATGCTGAAAAAAACATAAGGGAGCAAATGGCAAAGATCATAAACTGAGATCTGCTTTAGATTTCAGCTTAATTATACAGAAGATTCAGATCAACTTACAATCCAACCCAACAAAGCCAAATCCTTTCCAATACCCATAAACCGATTCTTGATAAACTCGTCTTCTTGAACATGGATAAACTTCTTCTTCAGAACTGCATTGTGTAAAACTTTAATTCTTAAGAAGAAACGGTTGGAAAAACAAGATCAAAGACTAGTCCACTGAAGGTTGAAGAGCCCATATTATATTTAAGTCCAAATATATCACTAAATCCATCAAGGAGGGATTTTTCAGATGTAATGGAATTATGGAAACAATACCTTGCTCTGGATGATAGTCCTTTTTAGTGGCGGATTCCTCCCAGTGTTTCCATTGACGGATCTTTGCACTTCCAAAAAGAATGGTGAGTACACAGAAAACCACATGGACAACGGCGAGCACGAAGATGAATATGTGAAGATGGTGCAGGGCAGTCACGGACAACAATGGCACCTTCCCCTGTAAAAAAAAGATACTTACTTTATAGTGACGAAAATTAATTATTTTGTTTCATGGAGCACCGGAGAGATTTACCGTAGCGTTACAGTAAGCTGCGGCGGCATCCACCGACTCTGATGATGATGACGACGCGTCAGCGAGAAGGTGGCGGACGGTGCCTCTAGGAAGATACGATGAGAAGAAGGTTTGGAAATGGGAGGTCGTAGATTTTGGTTCGGAATCTTTGGAGCACGGCAGCCATTTGTCGGCCAAACTCGCCGGTATGCAGATTTTGCTAATTCGATCTTGAAACACCGTCAGCAACAGCGATATGAACCCCAACAACATCAACTCTGCACATAAACGGCACCCGAAATTCAGACTTATTCGAAAACAGAGGGAATTAATTAATTTGTAATCATACCTTCTTTGATTTTCTGGAGAGCTTCGAAGAGGGGTTTGTGGTCCTTCTTCTTCAAATACTACAAAATAATAAAGAAAACTGTATGAATTTCAACTTCAACAGTAAACAGAGAAGGTGGAAGGGAGACAGAAAAACCAATAGATCATCACCTTGCCGGCATAATGGAGGAATCGTTCGGCGGCGAGAGAAATGATGACAATGAAACTGCAGACGATGGCGACGACCCATGTCGGCGTATACTCCAAAGTCAGGCCTCCTTCTGCCATAATCAGTGTGTGTCTTGCAATGAAAAATCAGTAGACTGATTGCAGAGAAAACAGAGAATGTGGAAACGGGAGCAGATAGCTGTAAAGAGGTGTTGCTCACGTCACCCAATTTAAAGGGCAATCCTTGTCTAAAAATGTTTTCTCACCAAGTTGATCCACTGTTGGAGTAGTGGCACTGGCATCAAAGCTGTGATGTTGCTACCACAAAAGCAAAATGGTGCAGCAGGAAGCTCCATGGATGGGACAAAATATGCAGCAATAAAGCTGCTTCAATGGGAAAGAAAAACGCAGCGCACTGCCGCATTATGGAAGGAAATGAAATGCAAATGCAAATGCAAATGTAAATGAAACGCAAATGGAGGCCGTAAATTAGTCGACAAAAGTACAACAATATAATAGTGTTTTGATGCACTTTTTTTATGTTACTTTATATACTGTAATTCTTGATTTATTTTTTGAACAAGATTACAATTTTGGGTGGGAGAATCGAATACCAATCCTCAAGTTGAGGAATGCACCTTACAAGTTGAGGAATGCACCTTACAAGTCGGTTTATGGTCGTTGGGCTGTGAGACCTAGCCTGTAATTCTTGATTTAAATGTTAAAATAGATTTTGTAAGAAACATGTAACCATAAACCAAGAAAAGTAGGGGAAAAGGATTGTTTTTATGTCAACTTTTTTGCTATAAATGGGCAAACATGTTAATGGAAATATGAGAGAGTTGGAGAACAACTTCTCTCCTTCTGGGGGTGGGTGAACGTTTGCACCCTTACTTGGTTATGTAAAATTCATGTTCTAACTTCTACCATTTTCTAGTCTCCTCCAAGTCCTCTGTCAACCATTTCTTCTTCTCTTAAAAATCTAACAGCCACAAGTTGAATGTCTGATTCTTATCGGAAAACCAGACTTGCTGTTGGTTTTTCCACTAGCAAATGTTAAGGAAAAGTACAAAACCATAGTTTGGTGGCATAGGGGAAAATATTTGTTTGATGGGGATTAAGGTTGAAACCTTCGTGTGAAAGGAAGGTGACGCGAGGAAAATGAGAGTTCACACCCTTGCGTATTGGAGAAGGAAGCGCAATCAATAATGTAAATAGTTACTCTATCGCTTTCCTTGAAATAGAGAAAGTAACAAAAACGCGTCCTATGTATCATGGCCGCCTGGTTTAGTCACTTCGATGGAGGTTTATACTTTATTCTTTGTTCTTTTTTTAAAGAATCTCTTGATTTCGTCTTAGTCATGACATCCAACATGTGAGTTTGTGGCGGAACCGCCTCCCCTGTCCCCTCCCTTCATCAGCTTACAAGGCACTGTGATTGTCTCATGTACTACTAATTAATAGGCGTCTCTCTTAATTATTGGAGGTTCACATGTTGAAGGTTACAGTAGTATCTATCTACAAATTCTATATAACCGGAAAACACGGTGTCTTCTTGTGTGTTTTGAATTAAATTCAAAACAAAAACATTGGATCAACAAATACCTTGATCAGCT